TTAAAATTTGTTGAAATTTCTAATGTATTTAAATTTGTTCAAACTCTAGCATAAGGACTTTCATTACTTTATGGTCAATTACAAATACATTGGAAATTTATTAAAATTTATTAAAATTCTTGATATATTTAAATTTGTTTCCATTCAAACCTTGTCTACTTCACAGTCAACTATAGACACATTAGGCATGTATTAAAATTTGTTGAAATTTCTAATGTATTTAAATTTGTTCAAACTCAAGCATAAGACCCTTCACTACTTTATAGTCAACTATAAATACATTATGAATTTATTAAAATTTGCAAAAATTCTTTATGTACTTAAATTTGTTTATATTCAAACCTGAACCTTGTCTACTTCAGAAACAACTATAGATACATTAAGAATTTATTAAAATTTGTTGAAATTCCTAATGTATTTAAATTTGTTCAAACTCTAGTACAAGAACCTTCACTACATTATAGTCAACTTATAAAATAGTCAAGGTTTTATGTAGGTACATGTGGATGCAATGAATCTAAACCATAAAATTTATTTTGATATTATTATTCTATGACTAAGTGTACTGTCTTTTTTTTTATGGTGCGTCATGAATGCGTCATAGCTCATGCGCCAACTAATGGATTGACATCCATACTTGGTTAAAACTTATCACAATATTATGGAAGTTTAATTTATTTTTCTCAAAAGTCATTACTGTCTATATACACTGTATCATATTGTAAACCACATTTGTACTTATACATTAGGAGATACATATGTGATGTCCTAATATATGTATATGTATGTGTGTATCTATACAGAACATCTATTACAGATAAAGCAAAATAATTCTCTATGAATTACATAGTAGAATAAAATACAGTAATTGTGTAAAACATTTTACACGAAAATCCGCTTAATTTTTGGCGATATAATTTGCAGGCTAGCTGAGCCAGAAAATGATACATATCGCAATCGTACTCTAGAACTGATTCACCAAACTTGTCTCCAACAGCTATGCCTCGATCAGCATGGAAAATAGCATCATCCAAATTGCCTAGATCTGCGTAGCTTTAATTACCAAACTTTCGTCGTTGCGAGTCCTCGAAAATTTCGACACGCCTCAATTTCGCTACCGCCGCATAATGTATCCTCGCTCGGAGCCAACCGGAATATTTTCGCGGAACGTACGGCCGATTAATAACGCACACGTAAGTTCTCCAGACAAATTAGCTAATTAAATTGTTTTGTAAACAACACCATCGCTACAGCGAAGAGCTCCTACAAAAGGGGTACAACGCTCTGTTGCAAAAATAATGAAATTGAATTTTTGAAATTTAAAGCGAGTCTTTCACGAAATAATTTACATTCGCGATTCTGAAAATCGTGATGATTCTGAGATTTCAAGCTACATTTCCATTTATCCTGAATTTTAAAAAGCGGAAGATTGCTAATTATGCAACTCAATTTCGCGCCGGTGTTAATGAAAGATGCCGTATACGGAAAATTTTAATTTCGGAAAATGCGAATCATTTTTGTTTTTGTGCATTTACATAATGTTGCGTTCAGCTCAACAATTTGCAATTTTTGGAGAAAATTAATGCGCTCAAATATTCGTTGAACTAATATTTTTTAATTAATATTTCTAAAAAATCTGTACCATACATTTGCATACACTGATATCTGAAGAACTCAGAAAGTTTTCATGAAAAGCTCTCGCTTAAAATTTCTCAAGAGAATACGAAACATAAGCTGCTAAAGAGTCTGATGACTCTTGGAACAAATCACGACTAGTGCAAGATTCTCCAGATTCGCGTCCATACGGAAATCCGTATTGAACCGGAAATTCGAGCGGATATCGACTTAGAAGCAACTTATCGCAACGTTCCGTAAATTTCTTATCTCCAGCAACGGCCGTATTTGAGTTTGAACGATGCTCCACTTAACATGAGCGTCTCGACCGACCGTCTCGGAATTATTGTCCTCGTTTCAATGGGTATACACCCGCGGATTCGGTCTATATTTAATCGATAGCTAAACCGGAAGACTCGGTGCCGCCACGTCTGTGTCACTGGCTGTTGGATTCCGGGAAATTATACGCGAATCCTGATGCACACACGCGGTCATACAGAGTGTTTCATAACGTGTGGTATACTCTTATAAACACGTGTTCTACCATCTCAATATTATTCAATGATGAACTCGTACTAGTGATTTCAGTGAATTCATATATCGTCTATTTTATTCGTGTGAAGGTTTAGTAGAAATTGTATTGCATTGCAGCATCAAATGTACATATGATTAAAGATTATAATCAATTTTGAATACGTAATTTAATAAACGTTGTGAAAGTGTTTATGTGCTGCATGTTAAATAATACTTCAAGAACAACAAACTTATTTTATGTAATACTTAATGTACAACAGAACTTCTATTATGACAGTAAAGCTTCTACTATAAATTGTAGAATAAATTTAGACAATATTGTAAAATATCTAACTGTCAAGGTTCGTATAAATACAAGTAATATATTCAACTATCTAGTAAATAAAATGTTGTTAAAAAAACAAAATGACTAGAATCATATACCTTGAATGCAATTAACTTTGATATAGGTTAAGCTAACCTAACTGCAAAATTAATTAAATTTGTTGTTGAATAATTATATTGAACAAACATATTTATTTATATTGAATAATATAAAAGATACTATTTCTAGTAAAACGCCTTCAAAAAATAATCGTACATACTTGTTCAACATATGCTTTTAAACAGAAATAAATTTTAAATAGTATGAAAAAGAAAATTAATATTAAAATGCGCGCTCAATCGTTAGGCTCGAAGCTGATGCTCTTGCGACTGCGCATGCATAATCCTCGCGTTCTGATTGGTCAGTGTTTTTCCTTAATAATTCAAAAACAAAGCTCCAAACCCCATTTTAGCAAAGGGAAATCTTATTTAAAATCACGTCAGCTATCCCCCATTTTAAGGACCTACACCAATTATGAGACACTCTCTGTATATGATGACATGTGTATAATAATATTATATAATATAATAATAAATATTTGATAATACAAAAATAAAAAATATTACTAGAATACTATACTAGCAATTAATAGAATATAAATAAGTGTGTAAGCAATAATTCTGTACAAAAGATTGCTAAGTTCAATGCAACAAATATTTGTGCAAGCATCCTCCTGTAGTACGGGTTATGAAACACACTGTACGGCTGTCGAGTGTAATTATTCTTGGGTGTGGAAAGTGCATTTGCAAGAGACAGATCGGCCCGGAAAAAAAATAACAGGAGCCCGGATATTCCCCTTTGTTTCAACCCCTTACCAAACGGGCCGAGCTTTCGAATTGTTTTTATGAAATGGAAGAAATATCGTGACACGAGGAAAATACGTTTAAGGGGTTCATCGATCGACGGTAAAGAACAAAGATTCCTCGCCGAGATTCTGACTTCTGGCTTTTTGCTACCGCGAAATTGGTGAAATATCGCGGAACGGGGCGGACAGAAGAAATTGAAAGGAATGTTTATGTCGCGTGCTGTTTTTGCAAGCGTTCGTTTTAGTCGATCGAACGTTGCGCGAGCGGAAAAACTATCCTAGTGGATGTTGAAAGAGGTGGAGGTACCGTGATGGTCATTAGAAATGTTTTTTCGAAGACTGTTTTCCTCGTTTATCAAGTGATAGGAAAGTTGAAAGAAATTATTGGTCGCAATTTGATGGAAAGAAAATATTTGTATATAGATGTTGATCGGCGATCGCTATCGATATATTGATTGCAGCCGGTGAATAATTCAGAGCAAACAATAATAAACAGTTCTGATCGTTTCGTGGCAATTTCATTCGAAAAACAATATTTACATCGATGGAAATATCGAAAACATTTTGAAGCACGAATAACGTGATATAATCGATTTGAAATAATATTCGACAAATAATTTTTTGTTATTGAAACAAATTGATAAAAAATCGTTCTCAGTTTTCAATAAAATTTGATACCGCTCTTCTGCGATATTATAAACAAAAAATAAACGTGAAATGTTAACTGTCCGAAATAGACTAAAATTAAAATAGATTAATATGTTATTCACAGTATAAATATATTGTATAAATGAGCGGACCATTTTATTAGAAGTTGTAAAATTTTCAAAATTAATCAAAATTAATAGTTTGCACTTACTAGCATTTCAATTTTATTAAATTTCAGTATTTTCTATACTCGTGATTTTATAATAAAAATAAATAATTATTACTAATTAATTGTTATTATATTATTAATTTAATTATTAACTATTAAATAATTACTATTAGACATCATAGGGCTGATTGTTAAATAAATTGATAGAAATGTAAAATATGCTATAAACGATAATAATTAATTACTAACTATTCAATAATTACTATTAGACATCATAGGGCAGATCGTTAAATAAATTAATAAAAATGTAAAATATGTTATAAGCAAACTTTAAATTAAATATTCATACAAATATTTATAACGTATAATAAAATTTCTAGTCCGCTCATTTACTATGTACACGAATATATATTATTAAATACATACTCGAAAATCACATAAAATATACATTTTTATATTACATGTCACATAACAATATCATCATAATAAATTATTTATACGATCAATATTAAATATGAAATCGAATATTTCGATGAAAAAATAAATTGCAAAATTTGATGCGACAGCCATTTTGTTATATATGAAACACGTTCAAACACAATTTATTCTAGAACATTCTATAATTCATAATACTACATAATACATAATATTCACATATTTTGTTAAAAATTTGCATCACGCAATAAGTTTTATTATTATTTATAATTATTTAAAAGTTTTGTCAACTTTATTCATCAAAATATTCGATAACATAGTATAGAGAAAAGCGTAACTACGCAGTAAAAATACCACTGTAGCGTTACTTTGTAATTGTATGTTATAAAAGTTATATATTGAACCAATTTCATTTTTATTGTTTCACTTACCAATTCTGTAGGTGACAGAAAACAATGACGGCCTTTGTAGCACAAAAATTCACATTTCACACACAAAATATTTTAAAAAACGTTTGAATCGGTCTCACACGTCCGCTCCTTCCTCCAGGCAGTTGTAGAATGTTAAAATTTGCAAATGGCGCTGGGTACGCGTCGTAATAAAGCGCGCCTTTTTTTAAAAATTCAACTACAGGCATATGATATTTGAAAGTACTGAAATATTTAAGAATGCATATAAATTATGCAATTATAATAATTTTTTACAGAAATATAATAAAATAACAAAAATATAAGCATTATTCTGTACAGTACTTTAAATGTTATATTTGAACAGAATGTGCCAGAATGTTTGAAATGTGAATGTGCCTACAGAATATAATGTACATGTAATAAATTGTACAAACTTACACTTTTATACAAGAATAATTTCTTTTAATTACACTTCATTCTTGTCTTTCACACAAGAGATATATGTAATACGCTTTACATAATTACGGAAATTCATAAGTGCAACAGTGTGAACTAACCCTTCATTTATTTAATATTTTAATTCATTATATTATAAAATTTAAAGAATATTTAGTTTTTTGCACGTATAATATATTATTAGAATGCGAAAATTAAATTAAAATTGTCTTAATATTTACAATTATATAATTGCATAATTATATAATTATATCGAATGGCGCGAAGTTAGGCACGTGGGACGCGATCTGCGCGGGAAGAGCACAGCTTCTACGTAGAACATTCTAGAACTTTCTATTGTGACGTGACGGCGTCCCCCGCAAGAAGTTTCCTTTGACAGTGTGACACTTAAAAAATTGTATTTTTGTGTAATATCAGTGAAAACGAGTGTAAATTAATGTTAATCGTGTTTTAATACTGTAGTTTATTAGTTTTACTTGAAGTAATAACACGAAGAACAGAAATAAACGAAAATAATGAACTTTCCGAATTATGCTGTTCGTGCGTAGAACACTTTGCTGTAGCTGTTTGGTCGTGTCGACTGACGTAAGTAACATTTTAGTATATTTCTATTTATTATATTGCGTTATATTACATTTTATAGTAAATATATTTGTCCTAAATCTGTCAAAACATTTGTGGGAGACAAATTATTAAATTCGATATATTTCACGATTAATAATTGTAGGTTAAAAATGTATATATTTGTACGTATTAAGTGGAAAAGTAGTGATTTGCAATTATTTAATGCGGGAATATTGTATATTTATTTTTATTATACATTATTTATATACATTAGTGACATATTTTCTTAGAAAATGTATAGTTGTCGAAATATGTAAAATATCGTAACGAATAAGAGGCGCGCCATATTTCCAAAACGTCACGTATGTAATATTGCAAAAGAACTTTCTAGAAGTTTACAGTCGCATTACTTATTTATTGCTGTTGTTATATTTGATTATTTGCATTATTTTATAAAATATTTATTCAAAAGAATAATTATCTTAATACGTAAATATATTCCCAAGAGATTTCGTGCTTTTCCACTAAATATTGTTCATTAACTTAATAAAAGGTACGGTGCTGTGTTCAGTACCAATATTTGCACTCATTATCCATTTTCCCGCCCTTTTTCTTCCAGCTTCGTTTATTTCCCTCTCTTTATATTTTATTCAAATTTTCATAATGCTCATCACCTTTCTGCTTTAAATTTATATTTTATTTTACCATTTCAAAGCATTTTATAAAGAATGTCACTTTTTTCGGTTAATTAGTACCACAATAAAAATGACATATCTTTTCGGAATAATATCTCCAGTTACAACTTATACATAGTTCCTCCTCTTATCATCAAATAAATCAGAGAATTATTCCCGTCGTATCTTCACCATTTCCACTGTCTAGATAGCACCTCGGTTTCTCCGGTGTTTATGTACACTTCACAAATCATTTACCAACAATTACTTTCGTTTGTTCATTTTAAAGTGCTCTCGAGAGTCGTAAAGCTATTGGGAAAGAGTAAAGGAGGAAAGAAAGAGAAAGCAAGAAAGTAGGAGGAACAATGGAATCTCGGTTCCCTTCCCAAACTGAGGAGAATCCAGAGTGGATTACATTCTCTGGAGGAATGTTTCCCAACGCGTCGCTTCCTGCGAGCTGAGAACTTAAATGGCCAGGAATACGGGGATAACCGTTGTTATGAAATCCCAATACGCGTTTAAATGCTACAAGCTCGAACGTGCCAGAAACTGCGGGGGAAATTTCGGGAGTCGAATTTTCGAATTCTTCCATTCGAATATTTTCAAATGTTCAGAAGGTTAGGTTTGGTTAGATTCAACTTCCAAATTTTCTAGTTAGATTCTACTTTTGGAAATCTCAAATTGTCAGATTTTTTATTTTTCAAAATTTTTAAATGCACAGATTCTTGATTTTTTTAATTTCTAAATTTTTATGTACATGAGGTCTTAGGTTCCAAAATTCCCAAATACTAAAATTTTCTAATTTTTGAAACCTAACATTGTTAAATTTTGTATTCTTCAAAATTTCCAGTAATTATTCAAATCCCAAATTTTGAACTTTCCAAATTTTCAAATTTTTTCTTCTTAAATTTCAAATATTCAAGATGTGAAATTCTAAGATTCACAAATTTCTAAAATCCCCAATTTCTCAGGTCCTAAATTTCTAAGTCAAATTTTCAAATTTCTGAAATCTCAAATTTTTAAATCACCAAAATACCAAATTTCCAAATTTCTCAATATCCACATCCTTATATTTTTAAATTCCTAAATTTCTGGAACTAAAAAACGTTAAATTCTCAAATTTTTAATTTTCAAAATTTCCAACTTACCAGAACCCCAAATTCACAAATCTCTAAATTTCCCTGCATCTAAATTTCTAAATTCCTAGATTGCAAAATCACTAAAACCATAAGTCATTAAATTCTCAAATTGTCAATTCTCAAAATTTTCGAATAATATTCAAATTTCCAACTATTTAACCCTACGCAGAAACCCTAGTTCCACATTATAACCCTAGTTGTAGATTGGAAACTAACTTTGTCCATCAAATACATTTTGCTCATAACTTGACCCTTGATCCTAATTGCGTCCCAACCTTGTGTTCTGCTATGGTAGTTAAAACAGACACTAAACTTTATGTCCTCCCATAATTGTTATACGCTAAAATCAGATGTATACCATACCGTAGCCAAAAATGATCCAATTTCAGCAGTAATTTCGACCCGTCCTTAATCATTGATCGCTTTGTTCTGCTAATCGCTCATTTGGCATAATACATTTACACCTTCCCATTGATCGAACGACCTATCCGTTCATTTAATTGTTCGTCCTCGTCTCGCTGCTCGGTTACAGGTCCCCTCCTCTCCGAGGCAGGATATTAGTCTGCTAGATTCGGGATTCACCGATGGAAATCCCGACGGAGGATCTGTGGCGACATTTTGCATTTCTGAATTCACGAAACAACGTCGAACAATAATTACCATTGCACGACCTATTTGTTCTCACGGATACCGTATTTCAGCTATGGTCCGGGGCTCGCTTGAAATACTTGGTCAGGGTGTTCACATTCGAATTCGCGTCGGATACGTGCAAGATAGTTCGAATAACGTGGCCTAAATGGATTAACGTCCACAGATTCGAGAACGGGATCATGTTCCCGCTGTCTGTTCTTGTCTTAAGATTCAGCGACGCTCGAATACCATGGATTAACGGAAAATCTTACGAGTTGTCCGAATACTCGGTTAGATTGCGCCAGAAATTCTCTTTCAATTTCGTAATTGAACATTTAGCAAAGCTACACATCGAAAAGTTAGAAATTTTGAAGTACGCAGTATGTCGGAACTTTTTAAATTTAACTACAAAATAATTTTTTTCTTTTTATTTAAAAAGTTCCGTAATTTTTCCGATATACTATCAACGTTGAAAGAGTTATTTTGTACATCTGATTTCTTTATTATATCCAAACGACATCTTACACCTCCATTCATCATAAACGTACATCTCGAGTCAGTTGATTACCCTCTTTATCTGTTTACCCACTCAAGGAAGAAAAGCAGCATCTTGCAGTCGCATTTAAAAGAAGAGTCTTCCGAGACGTCCTCAGCTTCTCGGAATCGATTCAACGTCGCGAGATTAACATAACAAACGAGAACGCGTAGGAATATCAGCAAAGCATCCGACAAGACGATTAAGTGAGCATGCAAACGGATAGAAGAGGATTGAAGAAGAACCAAAAAAGACAGAGCAAGATATCGTTCAGAGAGCACCTGAAGAGGCTCTTCATCTTCATAGAAGGATGTTCTGGGTCGGTGCTACGCGATCGTGCAAGATCCGTAAGAATGTCTGGCAAGTATCCAAAAAACATGGCGCTACGGTCGTCACGTCTTCCTCTCGAGTCTCGCCGTGGTTTCCGGGTTAGGACATCCGGGAATTCTCCGAACGGTCAGTTTTAACTCCAACTAAGTCATCGGACGTCTCGTGAACGATCGATCGAATCTCGAGAGACTGTTTTTCCTCCGACCTCGATGCATTCCTGCGTTCTACGGTTATAAGGAAGTGATTTTTTCAAGGTCCTCATTTGAACGTCGCTGAAAATGAGAGTGGTCTATCACCTTAAAAATTAATTAAACAAATAAAATCACCCCTGCATATATTGGATTAATATTTCAGACTAAATGGGCCAAATACAACTCAGTAATTTAACACTTGATGTATTATGCAATTTATATCTTCCATCTTTTCATAATATACCAAAGGACCTTTTCCATGTTACAGGTCTTCAAAAAATATACATTTTTTATTTAATGACATACATTTTGGTTTTAAGAAAGAATAGTTAATTATTACCATCAATAAATTTTATTAACAAAATACGTTCAGCAAGATTTTACACAAGATAAAATTTTAACATTTAATGAATAAGGTAATAAAGTTTCAGATACGTGTTCCGGAGAATATTTTTGTCGTTTCCTTTATGTCCCTCCGTTTATACCATTTTAATATTAAATAATATCGGGCGAACTGAGTCGCTTTTTCTTTATGGCACGATAGAACGCGCTATGCATCTTCGAAGCTTAATTACGTGATTCACTGTTATAGCTTTATTGCGTTTAATATGAGGATAACTGCAGTGCTTCGTGGTTGACTAATAAAATGAAATATATCCAATATATTAAACACGCGGTCTATATCTCCCGGGCTGCAGTAATTCTCGCGTTGCTGGTGAGATCGTTGCAATTAAGTCCTAAGGAAATTCCTAGATAACTTGTGACTTTATAGACCTGCTAGATAATATAATTACAAAACTCCATAAATAATGTTTATCGCGTGTCTTTTGGGAATTATGGTATACTTGCAAACAATTATTATTATCAAAGTTTTACTAAAATAGCTGGAAGTACATGATGTGTTAGAAGTAGTCAAATTGTTCAGCTTTCTAATCATTGAAATTTTATCTTCAAAGACTTAGTCATTCAAAATCTTTGGTCCTCACGTTTAAGGACTTCTAAATTTCCATGTGTAGATCCTCAAACCCTATGGTCACCTGTGTCTCCAAAATCTTGCAGTCCCAAATCTTTAGAACCACTCGTTCCTATATCTCCAAATCCACATTCTTATGATTCACTTTTAAGTCTTCAAATCCCTAGAACAACGCACTTTTATATTGTTACAATCCATAGTTCCCCAAATTCGTAGATTCACATGTGTTCAGATCTCCACATTCCAAGGTCCTCAAATACCTAAATACCCAAATACCTAAATATTTAAATACCTATGTCCCCAATACATTTACATCCCCAATTGCTAAATCCACATCTCCTATTCCCCAAATTGCTAAATCCACATCTCCCTATTCCCCAAATTACTAAATCCACATCTCTCTATTCCCCAAATTACTAAATCCACATCTTTGTATTCCTCAAAATTCTCCACCCAACTTCCCCAATTCCCAAAAATCCATAAAAATCAGCTCCTTCTTCCAAACCCAGCACAAGTTTCCTGTATCAACGCCATACATAAACTACCGAGCGCATCTCGAAACCGATATCTCCTCGATCTTTTCCTCGGGTATAAGCGATCTAAAAGTGGCGTGTCTGACACGAACTTGAGGACCTCTTTCCCCCGTGTCTGCTCGTTAATTACGTGAACTTTATCCGATGAAGAGTGGCGAGCTTAAAAGGGAAATTGTGGCTTACGGGATTAAGTTGGCCGAGATATCGTTCTAATCTTGTCTCCGGTTCGCTCTTCTCATTACTCGCGAGTATCACGTACACATACTCGGATGACGGGTTGCTTGCCGCCGAAATTTCAGTTAAAATTGTCAATAAACCCTGCGTCTACCTAACGAATCTTCTCGCGCGAAGCTGCTCGTACCCGTTGCTCTTTAAACGTTAAATGGAAAAGCTGTGCGACACGCTGCCGGATTTTCAACGAAACTGGGACAGCTTTTAATTTCTCGCAGTCGCAGCTTTCAATACCGAGAACAGATGAGACTTACCGTCCTAGGAGATTAGTATTATTCCTCGTTATTTATCTTTTATCGCTTTAAGAATTTCAATCGACGTTGTTTATAGCTTACATTCATTCAAATATTCATGCACGAGTTATAAATGTGGATTTATGCACTTGCATTCACCTGAATATACGTTGCGCAAACTAGGGAAATACTTGTCTGTAAAACATATGCTCCGTTTTTAAATTTATATGCAACGGACTTTCATATTAAGTGAACGCGTTAATATTGATTTAATACACTTCAGTACACGTGAAGTGTGTAAATGTATACAAATTTTTTTCCTGTTCAGATGCGAGTGAACTGAGCCGATTGTCATGAAATTATAGTTTATGGATATTCCAGATCTGCGTTTTGTTTCATTCATGTGCTGAACTTGTAAGGTTGCCTATGATTATATCCAGCTATTCTTGAGTAGGATACATATATTTCGCTTCCCGACACCGAGATTATAATCTGACCGGATACAATAATCTTAGCCCCACAGTTTTATCTTCATGAATAAATCAAGCGCGGATAGGTGAACCGGCTGGTCCAAACGTAATACTGAAGTTATTATAGTAAGTGTCCCGTGATATATGAATGTGGATGTATATTTGGAGCAAGTTTAACACGTGCTGCTTCTGATTCTGCATCGAGCTTTGCAAGATTTGTAGCGTGCTATTTTTGATATTTGACAGTTATCTGGTTGAATATAGTAAATCTAGCTGTATAATTTTGTCTTTATCAATGATGAACACAATGTAGGTATTATAGATCCACATATGTGAACATGAGTGCACATGTGGATCAGATGTAGCTAGACTAATTTTTCCTAATTTTGAATATGATGTATTGTTGAATTGTCACCTAACAATTATGATTTGGTTGAATATAGTAATTCTAGATGTACAATTTTATCTTCACCAATAAGTGAATCTATTGGCCTGAAGAAAAGAGTGTAATCATTATAGGTCCTCATATGTGAACATGAGTATACAAGTGATCCAGATGTAGCTAGATTAAATTTTCCTAATTTTGAATATGATGTATTGTTGAATTGTCACCTAACAATTATGATTTGGTTGAATATAGTAATTCTACCTGTACAATTTTATCTATATCAATAAGTGAATCTATTGGTTTGATGAAAACAGTGTAACTATTATAGGTCCTCATATGTGGACATGAGTGTACATGTGGACCAGGTGTAGCTAGACTAAATTTTCCTAATTTCAAATACGATATATTATTGAGTACACCCAATAATTACAATCTGGTTGGACATAGTAATCTTAGCAGTACAATTCGGTCTTCATGAATGTCCCAGACAACATAGTTCTGAAACATAATACCGAAACTATAATAGTGTCCTACGATCGCATATGCATCAAGTGTAAGATTAAATTGTAGCAAGTTTAAATACAATATTGTTGTCCGTTAACACAATCTGACCTAACATAATAACGTTGACAGTACAATTCTATCTTGTTGAAGCCAGACAACGATGAGTGGGTCCGATAGTCGAAACATAGTACTGAAACTATTATAGTAAGTGTCGTATGATAGGAACATTGGTGTAGATCTGAAGCAGGTTCAGCGGGAGCGATAGTGAATCGAGATCTCGATCGAAACCTTTGTCCTAATCTGGCTGAAGATCAATGTCGTGCACGTCAACTGTTGCTGGAAGGTAGCCAAACCGATCCGTTTCGACGATGCGTGCAATGAGCAACGATTTATTTACCGTGGCGATCCATCGATACCTTCATCTCGATTAAGCCAAACACTCGTCAACGGTGCCGGCTCGATGAGCCGTGGAAACCGGGAAAAAATAGAAAATCAATGGATCGATCGGTTACACGGTTATCCGAGCCGCGACCTACATTACATAAGGGCGATTTTTTAATTACCCGGCTGCGTTGGAAATTCATTATCGATTTGATCGATTCGTTTAGTCACCCCCCCCTGGTTGATTGGCATTCATTAACGAAATTATACATTACGGACCGTTAACGTCTACCCCCAGTGTTTCGTGGAAAATTACACGTAATCGTGACGAAATTAATACGATCGGCGCGGTAATTGGATATTGGAAAGTTTCCGTCAATTTTGCTTCATATTTACTATCGGGTTACCGCGCGTGTTTAACGGTATCTAATAGATCGTGCTGCCCGGAATTTGATAGCTGGATAATTTGTTTATTGTTTATTTTCATACTAGCACGTACTTTCGCCTGTTAAAATAATTAATAGTTTCACAGGAATTTATGGATTTTGCGACTTGGCGATTTAACATTTGGAAAATTTAGAAGATTAGGAACGTGGAGAATGGAGATTTTTTAGTTTCTAGACTTTCATTTAGAAATTGGGGGTCTGGCAGTCTGAAAATGTGGATATTTCAGTACTCCATTTGCTTATTGGAATATCTAGACATTTGTATATTCAGAGATTTGACAATTTGGTCATTTGGTAATTTAACAATCTTCCAAATTAAAAATTAAAAAATCCAAAAATCAACCTTAATATTCAAACCAGAAATGAGAATTGAAAAACGCAGAACCAAGAAACCCAGTAATTTGATAATTTGCAAATGTCCAAATTTCCATCTCCTACATTCCCTTCGTTAATTAATTAATCACTCAACAAAGGGAGAGCAAAATTTCATGTTACAAAATTTCTCTTCGTGCTATTTTATTTATCTCCGCAAAAGATAAAACCGCATGTTCCACGTATTCCGTAATTACGCCGGAATGAAAAAGGATGTTGTACCGGTGGTTATAAAAAGGCGCGATTAGCGATACTTCGTAAACCGTGAATCGATGATCGGTAACTTCGATAGGTATTAGCTCGTCAACCTTTGTATTTAATCAATCTTTTTGTTGCAGCGTGTCGGTGAGTTGCGTCCAATGAAAAATTTCTAGCGTAATAAAACCGGACACGGACTGACATCGAGCGAATAAAACTTTAACGAAGCTATGCAAATAAACGCCTGAGAGAGGATAAAAGCTGATACGAGTGTCCAGCGGAATCAGGTCATCGGTAAGTTTTTCCCCGTTCATTTTTACGTTCCTTTATAGAGAAACACCGGGTGAGATAGTTGCTTGTTCGAGATAATTACGGACGCTACGTGTGCTATAATCTCTAATTATAGACCCTCGTATTATTTTCTCACCCTTCACAGACTTTTTCCGTTAATCAGATTTGTACAAGCAACGTGTTTGTCGTTTTCTATGTTGTGCAATATTACACAGATTATTCAGGTATTTTTATCGATTGTTTTCATTTATCTAAATTTTCATTGAGTTTCTAAATTATTTTTACTTTTTTCTTTAATATCTAGGTTTATAATTTCAGGATAAAGGTAGGTTAATATATTTTTATTATTGTGTTTGTCTTCCTATATTATTACTATTATTTGTGTCATTAAATTGACTATTTGTAAATTTCAAAACTTGGTGTTTTTAAATTTGCAAGTTTTCTACTCTTCCAATTTTCTAAATTATTATCAAGTTCATAGATAATTAAATATACTTGTTGTTGCGAAAATTTGGTACTTCTTAAATTTCCATTACATTCATATATGTAAATATTTCAATTTGTAACATTGTAAATTTTTAACTTGAATATGTTAGATTTCTGTATTTTCATATTTTGCAAGTTTCTAATGATCCAAAGTACAATATTTCTATATTTATAAATTTTTAATTATGAACTTCCCAAATTTGTAATTTGTGAACTTGCGAATTTATAAATTTAAAAATCACTAATGTTTGGAATTTATCTCTACTGTCCAAAAATTCAAAAGCGGTCTCAAAATTACTGTAAAATTCCTTAACAATGTCCCTCAAAGAACGTCCCATCGCAAAGCTACAATTGGTCAAAACTCCTAATAACTCGAAAGTGGCAAAGTGGTTCGGCCATACGATAAAATATCCTTTGTCAGACATTTTTTCATATATGCAATAAAAGAGTCCTCGAAAAGAGCGAATCCGCGTCACAAAAGATATTACGCGTTGATAAACGGATTAAGAGCGAACAGAAGAGTCCGCAGGATTTCGCGGCTAATTGAAAATCAACGAATGTAACGAACCTCGGGGTTAGGTGTTTGCGAAACGAGCCGGTGTGTCAGTCAGTCAGTCGGTTAGGTGGGTTTCGAGATATATGGGACGACATGCCGGCAGTCGACTTGGCGAGAGATTCGACGGTCAATAAAAAAACAATTACCATGGCCCGTGACCGTAAAACGTGACCATGCGAACTCGGCCTCGTCCCTGCGTTGCCTTTCTCTCTTTTACCTTCGGACAGGACCCGTTTTACGCCACGGAAAATTGCTCCTGCGAACGTTGCACCGACAAATGCCTGGAAAATCGGATTGCTGATTGCTGTACTGCGGGAAACGTTCCGTTCATTCGATTAAGCCGTCCGAAAATTTCGATCGTCGCTTCGTGAACGACACAAAGTCTCTCCGCTGTCCAGATAGAATGCACGCGTCGTTGATCCTCGAAATTCCTTTAACGTTTTATTCGATGCCAATTATAGCGGAATTTCGGTCGTCTGAAATCGTCGGCTTTGGAATATTGAATACAATTACCGGGTGTTCTGTTGCGACGTTTTTGGGGAGTGAAGTTTATTAGTTGACAATGGGATTTTGATCTGATCAAATTATTTGAAAGTGGGAGGTAGAGTCAGATACCACAAGCTTGGTGTTACTGATGCAAAGTTATGTACTTAATGATATTGAGTACAATTAGTTAATATTTTGTTGTGGGGTCAGCTTTGTGGATTGAACATTGTGGATATCTTCATTGATATTGATGATCGGTGATGGGAGTTTGATCTGATCATATTACTTAACAGTGGGAGTGTAGGGTAGAGTCAGATAACATGAACTTGGCGTTACTAATGCAAAATTATATACTGAATAACATTGAGTACAATTAGTTAATATTTTGTTGTGGGGTCAGTTTTGTGGATTGAACATTGTGGATATCTTCATTGATATTGATGATCGGTGATGGGAGTTTGATCTGATCATATTACTTAACAGTGGGAGTGTAGGGTAGAGTCAGATAACATGAACTTGGCGTTACTAATGCAAAATTCTATGCCGAATAATATTGAGTACAGTTAGCTAATATTTTGTTGTGGTGTCAATTTTGTGGATTGAACATCATGCCCTCCTTCGCAGCTATAAATGACCTAACCTAACCAGTATTCGAGTACTCCAACATCACTTATCTTTTACAAAATTCCCTCAGAACAAAAACAGCAATTAAACTCAAATACCATCAGACTCCCAACGATCAGACTAACAAAGAGACTAGTCCAATCAAATCAATAATAACAACAAAAAATCCGCCGCATTGAATGAAATATTAGCGACAGTTAAATAATACAAGAGATTTAATTTCCTTCATCGGTAGTAGTTACCTTTCCGATTCGAAAAGAGGAACCGAGTAAAATGCTTCAGAAAACTACGCGAAGGTAAATTCGAGTAGAACGTTCTTTGCTTGGGGCGTTCAGGCGCTTTTTGTTAATTAGAGGTCGGTAAAAGTAACGCGAAAGGAAACTGCATTTTTGGTCTGCGGTTGGCTTGGTTGCACATTTAAATTGCCTCGTTTCTGATCATTTGCATATGCTGGGCATTCTATGTGCATGTCAAAAACACTAAACGGTCTGACAATGGAAAATTAGAGCAGTTAGTTCGCGAGTGGCAAAGAGATTTTCCACAAAGGAAACTGATATCGAAAATGGATTATATTTGGTTGTATTTCAAATTTCGAAATGGCTTTACATGACTTGGACAGATAAAATTTTCACTTTCGATGTTCGTGATATTGTAAATTAATTATTAATTATTATACAGTGAGCATTGTTTCATTATTCCGTATTAAAATTTAGATTTCAGATTTTACTGTTCGTAAAATAGTTTAAAGAGTAAAATGAAGGTAAAGTAATTTGAGGACCAAGGTATAAAACTATCAAATTATTTGATAAATAGTTTGAAGATTAAACTAGTCTATAGCGACTAAACTATTAGTATTCAAGGATTAAACTATTTTATAGATAATAATTAACTAAAAGTTACAGTAACCTCATTTAACGTAAAAATTAAAAAAAAATAAAAAATAATATTTATACATTATTAGTTTGCTTTTAAGTTTCAAATAAAGTTAATATATTTCAGACACAATTCCTGTTTAAACTCACGGATTTAAATGCGTCTGAAGCATCTAGGTTTTTTCTAGCGCAAGTACAAACTAAAATTTTAAGCAAGAGATCTCAAGCTTGATCTTTTTGTGACCTGAGCAGCATAATAAAATTTCTGAAATTTTACTCGTGTTTCCAACGTTTCACTCTTCATATATTCTTCTTTTAGAATTTAAATTTAACGTCTGATGTAGGTTGATGTTACACCAACTTGTAATTCTACGTTGCTACGTCAGCTTTTTCCTGACATTAATTTTTACGTCTCGAGATTAGCAAAAAAATTACAGTGTATTCTAAAATGTAATATTTCTTGCTCTAATCTCTCGGAAGACATTTACATATGTCTTCCTTATTTTAACTATTAATGTCCGTGCATGTTTTAAATGTAATATTCTTACGTCTTAATTCTTTCTATTTTATGTTATTGTTAATTCTTTAAAAGTGGAATTATTTATTAATTTATATAAAAATTAGTGCATTTCGTTTTCAACGAAGAAGTTAAATATAAATAATTAATTTATTTTAAAATAGAATAAATCAGGACTTCAAAGAAAACGAGATTAACAATTTCAAAGGCGACTTTTAAATATTCATTCCTAGCCTGCGGATGTTTATGCATTGGGGTCATAATTCTTAAAATAAATACGTTTACGTCAAAAATGCATATAACCTTCTTTGTAGATCATTTCATGTCCTTCATTTTTTGTTTGAAACATTTTTCTCTTAAATCAATATTTCAAGATATATTTACTGGGAACTGTAAAATACTTTGAAGGGAGATGGTGTGTAAACGAGGCCATGTCACTGAAATTTTTTTTAAGGTCTTCTCTAATTAAGAGTGAGCTTTGGTTAAAATTTCACTGTGGTTGGTTTATGTTTTTGGGAACTGTACCCAAAGAAATAACCCAATTTTTCACCTCATAGTTAATTTCTTCACCTCAAATCATTTATGGTCATGTGCAATTTATTTACTTCAAGTATAAGAACGCAAAGAATCGTTAAAATAATCATTTCAAATAGCACCCAAAAGAAGAATGTCCGAATGTCCGTTTTTTGTAGAGTATAGATCCTTAAAGAACCCAGTTTCATGACAAGATAATCTCGTTGGAAGAACCGCGTTTAAACGAATGTATCGCTGATCGCCGTTGTTTTTTGCCTCAACGTCTAAAACAAATAATTCGTCTCGTTCGGTCGATTAAGTTGGATAATTTGTACTCGGAGGGGAAACCTCCATTAAATTGAACGCGACCGATTGAACGTCGTCCTTTCTCGACTTGATCTAAATGCGGGACGCTTAACTTCGACGATAACGATTATCGTCGACTCATCGAGTCATAATGGCAGGTATGTTTGTGCTGGTGACGATAACTTCGTTCGAAGACCGTCTCTTAAACGATGCACCAAGATTTCGCGCCAACATTCGAATAATTATCATTAAACGAGCACAAAATCGAGGTTGACATCGTACGGTTCAGTTAGGTTAACTGCGATCGTTTATTTTAGACGGAGACGATAGATTGTTCAATTTATTTCTTCGATCGCTGTTTCTTCGAAGCTATTATTACTTCTCTGTATTCACTTTCTGTTGACTAGTATTTAGGATACTAGTATTAGTTTTATTATATTTCTGTAATATTCTTTTGTTGATTTGATATTTTACCAATTCAGTATTCAGCTGTTCTGTTATTTTCATTATTTTATTTTGTCACTCTGTTATTATGTGACTGTCACTATTGTCAGTTTGTCACATGTATATGCCCAAACTCTGATCTCTATGTCCCCAAAACTCTACATCACCAAATCTCTGTATCCTCTAATCCCTGTGTTCC